ATCGTAATAATAATAATAATGACAGTAGCAAAATAATAATGATAATAGTAATAATAATAAGAAGAATGAAAATAATCATGATAATTATAGTAATAACAATAATAATGACAGTGACAATAACATTGGCATTGATAATAAGGATAACAATAAGTGAGCATCATTAATTTTACTATCTGCATCTTTATTATCAAAGTTTAAGCGCAGGCTTAATAGAGCCTTGGCACTTAATAAAACCATTCGAGCGGATTAGCAACACTGCTCAGGCTTTAGCGGGCGTTTTAAACCGTGCAGTTCTTGGCCCCGGAATTCTTAACCAAGAGAACCCCTGCTTAAAAGCGTTTTAAGCAGGGATTCCAAACCTTTTCCTCTTCACACTGAACGAATAATGTCATTATTGTTAATGCAGACATGCCTCGTCGATAAAGAAATCAATTACCAGATTTAATTCAAGATAGGCGACCTGTAAAGAGCAAGAAAATGAGATGGGGACAGTGGTGGATCTAAGGTTTCCAAATGGGCGGAGCATTAGGTTGATAAATATGCAATAAAAGCGCTATGCAACGAAGGCGCGCGGCCATGTGTTAAGGGGTCGGAGGGGAGCAAACTGTGGCACTTTTATGTTGATTGATAATGTAAACATCACAGGAGATTGACGTTCTCAGGGATTCAATAAGGAAAAAACACGCAAATTCAAAACGAATTTGTATGCATACATAATTCAACTGATATTAAAGCACATTTGTAATTACTGGATTAATGAAGACATTTGCATATTTTTATATATGGGGTATTACTTTGCTCTGGAGGGCGGGGGTATTTGTCACCCTAAAGTGTTAGGGTGCCCAGTACACGCCAACTAACTGAAATATTGTTTAGTGATTGATTGGATATATGTGTACATATATGTATGTAGTATACATGTGTGTGTGTATATATATATGCATATATATATTCATATATATGTATATATATGTGTGCGTGTGTGTGTGTACATATATGTGTGTCTGTATGTGTTTACAAATACATATATGTATATATATTTAAGTATATGTATATACATATATATATATATACACATATTTGTGTCTCTGTATTTCTATATGTATGTGTACATTTACTTTATCTATCTACCTATACATATGTGTATATATATGTATATGTACCCATGCACCCACACACACACACACATATATATACATAAATATGTATGTATATATGTATGTATGTGTATATATATGTATTTATATATATATAAATTGTGTGTGTGTGTGTGCATATATATACTGACATATACTGTATATACATATATACACATACATATATACATACATATATGCGTGTGTTTGTGTGAGAGAGAGAGAGAGAGAATGTATTGTGCATTATTGCTGATAAGTCTAAACTTCACATGGTATCTGTCTCTTGCTTTCTTCTAACAACAGCATTGCAACAATAATAATAGGCTTCAAAACAGACTGATATTAGAACACGAACAAGCTGTCACTTACTTTTTATTCTAGGTTCTACACCACTCGAAACAGAGAATACATTTATTATGCAATAAAACTAACAAGTTTGTACAAACAATGGTTCTCTTAGTAAGGTAATAAAAATAATAATTTCCAAATAAGAGGGAAAAGATACTTTGCGCTCTGACAAAAGCCAACATCTCACCACCTAGAAAACTCTTGAAAGATAGAGCTTAGGCTAGTTCTTCTATGGCAATAAATCACCGGGGAGGTCTGTTGGCATATCTTTTCAGTTGGGGATTATTGGTATTTGCTGCGTCAGTCACTGAATTCACTGAATGCACACTTTTTAACTTTTAACGGAGTTGTCTTTCACTTGACCTAGTTGGTTTACTCAAAAGAGAATGGACATTTTCTGCTTAGTGTATTTCTGTGCCACAAAAGCAAACTGTATCGGTCATGATTTGATTAGCTGCTTCATATTTCCAATACTTATGGAATTCAGATTGCTTTTAAGTTTAGTATGATAAACAAAGTCAACTATTATAAAAAAAGTAGTATTCGTTATAAATATTTCTTATAATAATCAATTCAGGCGTAATAACACTTCATTTAGTTAATTGATTTTTAAAACACTTCTCTCGAGATGAATATAATATTAGGTCAATATTAAATAGAAAAGTTATGGAATTACTATAAGGGGATAATGTCATGGATTAAAAATTAGTTACTTCTTGAAGGAAAACCGGATTTTGTGTAAGGAAAATTGCCTCTTGTATAATCGTCTGGGTACTATTTTTGTACTTTCAGTATTAGATTCCTGACATATATGAAGATATGGATTGTTTGCTAGTTTTTATACACTTTCTGTCAGTACCGACAAATCCTTAGCTTTTGTAGTTAGAAGCATTTTTATTATACTTTGTAATATTTTTTTCCAAATATTATATATTATATTTATCATGAACTATTTGTGGAAAAGGGAATGCCAGACAATAGCTTATAGAAATAAATGTTATGCCAACATGAATTTTGTTTCGATAATTGTGACATCGTTTTATGGTATGATTCGTTGAATTTACAATTAGTTTTGGTATAACATCTTAGCCTTACTTTCATAGTTTCCGAATCAGTGAAAATGAAGGTTTCTTCTATTCCTGTTTGCATGACAGGAAGGATAACGGTAAATATTCCAACAAATAGCCCCACCGCGTGCAGTACGAACCATTACTGTTCGAAACATTTGAGACTTGAACCTCGCATATTTCGCAATACTGTTCACCTGCTAAAGTGTTGATAAAACACATGCGCACAGTATATATCAAAACGTAAGATATATATTTACTATGTGTAGTTGCATAGATTTGAAGTCTCAATAGCTCTATTTTGATTTACTAAGTGAATACCTTGATCAAATATTCGGATGCGGGCAACAGCAAATCTCCGGATTGGTTAGTCACAACTATGACGCCATGACGTCAGTATATCTTACGACCACTAGGATCCACTACCGAGCTGGTGAGTACACTGCATTCCGTGGAGTTGAACATCTGTTAGTTATAAGATCTTTGTTATATAGGCCTTTTTGTAGCATCCCAAAACCCCTAACTCTTTGATGTCTAAGGTTGTATCATGGTCGCTACAAAACACGATATAATTGAAGTCTATTGAAATACAAAGTATTGTGAAAAGGAGAAAATATTTTGTCCTTATTGTTCTTCATATGAAAAGTAGAAATTACTTAATTCCAATGATCATGGACATTTATTTGATTTATTGATTTATTGAAATTATTTATTGATTTATTGATTTATTGAAATTATTTATTGATTTATTGATTTATTGAAATTATTTATTGATTTATTGAAATTATTTATTGATTTATTGATTTTTGAGCTTGTAAGGTTATTTCATAGACGTACAGAATGATTTTCAAGACATTCATCCCACCGGTCAATTCCATGTCATACGACCCTTCAAATCTTAACTTGTATTTGATGTAATGCTAAAAAGGCACAGAAACATTTTAGGCACCCTTACAATAAAAAGTTATATCAAGAAACTTACGATGCGATTCGTAAATAATGAAACTATAAATCCCTGTCTGAGACTACGTGAAATATATCTGAAAAATATCGCGATTTGATTGGCTGCCGGAGTGTATCAAAGCTGTTTCAACGGGTTCCAATAATGTACGCGTAAAATGCAAGTATGTACCAGAGTGTATCAATGTTTTAGGGGTTTCGGAAATGTTACAGTAAAACGTAGTATGTGCGTGTGTGTGTGTGTGTGTGTGTTTATATATATATGCATATATATAGACATATACATATTTGTGCGCGCACACACAGACACACACATATACATATATATGCACATATATGTGTGTGTGTATATATATATATATTCGTGTATATATGTGTATATATATACATATATATGTACATATATATGTGTATGTATATATATATTATATATATGAATATATATACATATATATACACACAAATATATGTATATATATGTGTGTGTGTGTGCGTGTGTGCGCGTATGTGTATGTCTGTGAATGGTAAAACACTCTTCCGTGTGAATACAATACAATAACTAGACTTATTGAAAGTGAGACTACAGTTTCGAAATCTTATATAAGTGTGTGTGTGTGTGTGTGAAAAAAAAAAAAAATATATATATATATACTGTTTATATATATCTGCATAAACATAACATTCACACACACACACACACACACACACACACACACATATATATATATATATATATATATATATATATATATATTTGTGTGTGTATTTATGTATGTATATAGATACACACACCCACTAATACGTAAATAAGTATGTATGAGTTTGTGTGTGCGTGCGTGTGCGTGTGTGTGTGGGGGGGGAGGGTGCGTGTATCACATGCATACACAAATAGAGCGAAAAAGAAAGACAAAATATATAACCATATATACTTACATATATACTTAAATATACATACATCGAGGGGTAAAGACCGACATGGCGGTCCTATCACCTTAGTTATGGGATCAGCCTTGACGGACAGCTGGGGCTATGCAAAATCACACCATATTTATTGGGGCACCTCTATACCAAAGAGTAGTGTGACCGCGGCTTCATACACACACAAACACACACATACACACACATATATATGTGTGAGTGCGTGTGTCTGTGCATGTGTGAGTGCTTATGCGTGTAGAGATGTTCAGTCAACGAGATGAATTGCTAGTTTCAAGAGGGAAAAAAATCATATTTTATACACCATCTCATTATTTTCGCGAACACTTCCTCTTCTAACTCGCCCAGCACTGCAGGTAAGAAAGGCTCTGTTTAACCTTTCACGTCGCTTCTGCCTGCATACCTCCCCAGTCTCTAACAGTAAGTGATCGGGATGATCCATAACGGAGTGCCACGGTGCCTCAAAACGACTGCTATCGTCGGGGCCACGTTCGCCCTGTCCCTGCTCCTTTTGCATCACGATCCGGGTTCCTACTCATGGCCTCTGACGCCGAAAAAGGCCCTACTTCTGCTGCCCAAGATACAGAACGTACAAATATCTCCTGCTGCATCTCCGTCGGCCTCGCCCTCCACCCCTGCGAGTCACGAGGGCGATTTTGTTGCTCGGAGGTTTCGTGAAAGGAAGGCGTTCAAGGAGGAAATGTGCCGGAAGATGAACACCAGTAGGAAGATAATAACAAATTATTTTATGTATTACAACAAAGAACACAAGCTTCTTTTGTGCGCTCCTCCTAAGGTGAGTTCGGATAGTGTGTTTTTTTTATTAATTTAGATGTTTTCCTGAAAGTGGTGTTCCCGACCGTAACGACAAGCTTGATGTGCATATCAGTGCCTCGTCATTTCATTGATCCTATGTGTGTGTGTGTGTGTGTGTTTATATATATACATATATATATATGACTGCTGCGATAGTTAATGGTTAGAACAATGGACTCCGACTCTCGTGGTCCTGAGTTCAATGCCCAGACGCGGTAGTCGTAAAAATACCTGTGCACCGACTGCTGGCTTGAGCCTAATCTCACGGCGAGAAAGCAATAGAAATCAAACACAGGTGTCGTAGGTGCAATAGCCGCCGTGGCACAAGTGTTAGCGCGCAGAACAGTGGTTGATTAAGAAAGGCATCCAATCTGGCAAGGGTGGCAAAATAACCTCTCAATAGTGAATTGAGAGAGGACTATGTTCTGTAGTGGAATGAATGGATGTTCAAAAAAAAGAAAAGAAAAAGAAGATATATATATATTTATATATATAGTTATATATAGCTATATATGTAGGTAAATATATAAATATATATATATATATATATATACATTTATTTGCTTATATATAAATATAAATATATATATATATACATTTATTTGCTTATATATGAATATGAATATATATATATATATATATATATATATATATATATATATATATATGTTGAAAACCTTCCCCTTATTTGGAGTAAGTAAGGAAGGTATTAAAATCAATACCAAAGTTGAATTCGTCTTAGACTGACCAAAGCCTGAGAACATTTGAACTGTAAAGCAGTTTTAGCTTTGTCAGACCACGTTAATTTTTCGTTTGAATTAAAATAAATTTGAAACAATAAAAATAAAAGCTTTGCAGGAGCAAATATTGTCACACTACTTTTCTATAACTTAAATGGAACTGCAATCTTGTGGAAAAAAAAAAATCCAAAGAAAAAGAATAGATTTCATTTATTTTCACTTTCGCTATTACTGTACAAAATGGCAACATAATCTTTCATAATCACCAAGAAGTATAAGACCTTTTTCTTATTTCTGGGTATCTAGTAACTGCAGAAAGACATCTGTGTTATGTACAGCAATAAATTTCACTAACCAGTGGCGTAGCCAGAGCGGGAAGATTGGGGGGGGGGCAAACAGGTAAGAAAAATAGCAGGGGTCCGGGAATCTTCCCCCGGGAAAATTTAAGACCACGCCCCTTAGAATGCTTGAAAACGGCTCTTTTTAGATGGCTTATAATGAGCTATGCCATTTGTGCAATAAAATTTGTAGGGGGCCCCCCCTACAAATTTTATTGCAGATTTGCACTTTTCTCAGAGACCAATTTTCTGAGCATTGGGGGGGGGGGGGGCGGCTGCCCCGTGCTCATTAAGGTCTATTACGGCAGGTGACACAGTTCTCGCCCTCTGCCTTTTATAGATATAGATCTGATACTTTAGGTGTAACGACCTCAAACATTTATAAGTGTGTATGAATTTTCCTTGTTTCCTTTATTTCCGTTTTCCTTTTACTGTCATTAAGAACCATATCAGATCTCTTAAGTTACAACAACCATATTCGGAGGAGGACTGTGAACATGCTTTGAATTAAAGACCATGATATTTTCCGACAGGCAGGATGCACCTCGGTGAAACGCCAACTGTTACGTTTAGCGGGAGTTCCTGATAGCGTTGATGTCCACTCTGGCTATGCGAGAAATGCTATATCAGTTAGGTAAGCATAGCTATTGTGTTTAATTTTGTTGAACTGTTTATCTGATGATTTACTTTTCACTCATTCGTCTATCGTCTCGCCTTCCTCTAACTCTCACACTATTATTATTGTCATATTCATATTATTACTGTGATATATGCATAATTAATCATAATTATTATTATCATTATTATCATTATTATTAGCAGTAGTAGTAGATGTATGTCATTGACATTGTTATTGTTACTCATTTATTATTATTATTATTATTATTATTATTAATATTAATATTAATATCAATATTAATATCAATATTAATAATGTTATTATTATTATTGTAATTATTATTATTATTATCATTATCAATAATATTAATATTATTATTATATTGTACAATTACTTAATTTTTGTTATTTATTCATCTGTTAATATTTAATTAATTTATATACATTCTGCTTTAAATATAATGATTTTATTTAGGTATTAATTATCATTATTATTATTATTATTATTACTATCAACATCATTATTATTATTATTATTATT